GAGGAGAGGAGAGGAGAGGAGAGGAGAGGAGAGGAGAGGAGAGGAGAGGAGAGGAGAGGAGAGGAGAGGAGAGGAGAGGAGAGGAGAGGAGAGGAGAGGAGAGGAGAGGAGAGGAGAGGAGAGGAGAGGAGAAAAAGTCAAGTAACTTATTGTGAGAATGGCTGGTTCTAAACCTTAACTTGTGAGGAAAAAATGTCCAACCCTAAACAAAAACATGGCCTAGAGTATGAAATGCTAAACTAAATGAAATGCTAAATGTTTTGCTTTTCTTTGTCTTTTCCTTCAGTAAGAGCTCTGCAATTCAGAAGTCTGATTTGCCATTGGTCACATTTCAGAATGCTATTCATCTATGAGAGAGATCTCATTATTCTTTAATGGAGGAACATTTTCCATTGAAATGGACACTTATTGACTTTTACTGTTTGTTTTTGTTCAGCTTTAATGCAGCAGCCCTGTACAGCTCAGTTCACCTGATAATGACAGAATAATTGAGGCAGGGAAAAGGAAATTGGAAATAAAAAGTTTCTGAAATCTGGGTGTAAGTGCAACAAATACTTTTCTGACAAATAGATGAAAAACAGTATCTGCTGATGCTGTACACTGATCTATGTCCACAGAGCTACTCCAGTGGCTCACTTTACCTTAACTAGAGAACAGTTTGCTTGCTAAAGCAAACTGAATTTTGAATTTTGATATCTGCCAAAGTTATCTCATCTAAAGGTTCCAGTGAACCCTCAAGCCATACAACCTGTCAAATAGCAGCAAAATCTTGAGATAGTCCTACATGCACTGAAAGATAGGGGCTTCTAAATGTCTTTTTCCTACATGAGCAGGAATTTTGAATCTATTGTTAAAATTCCTAGCAAGCTATGGGCTATGCACAGTGCTGCTACATCAATTTAAACAACCATTAAAGAACTGCTTTGCACAATAAATAATACAGTGATTAATAGCAATTAATGTAAAACGAGCTATTAGGCTATGATATTTTTTATTTATATGGAACAAACTGAAACTAGCAAGCAAAGCACTGCTGACTGCAGTATATCTCAGAACATATGGTAAAACTGCAGCGTAGGTTAAACTGAAGGAGAATTTTCAGGAGGACAAGTTGCTTTTTAACTGCTTGAGGGAGCTAAAGAAACAACTGCAGAGGCTGCTTTTTAGGTAGATGAGCAGTGTAGGAAAAATATAGAAAAAAAGATGATGTAGGTTGTTTGCATATTGCTCTGAAATAAAACCTTGTTATTATGGCTTGCTTTATTTCACTTGTAGCTGAAAGTAGATTATGGCTTCCTGTAGATGGCAGAATTTCAGCGTAGAGTCTGATGGCAAGGTGAATGAAAACAGCATTTTGCAGGGTGAGTAATTCTTCCTGTTTTAAGGTGAAATAAATGATCCTCTGAAGATATCTATCTTTTCTCCCAATTATTGACAAAACCTTTTGATGTTATTTTTTTCTTATCCGTTTACATAACTCCAGGCGCAACCAAATTCTGGTAAAAATTCAGGCTCTGAAAGAGTGCAAAAATGCTTCTACATGACTGAGATGATGATAAGGCTGCCTGTCATCTGACCAAATTCACTTGAAGCTATGAGGTATCACAGTAGCACCAGTAGCACAGTCCATTCAGGAGGAGCAGGAAACCCATAACTGTAAGTACATTGTCTCTGAGCCCCGTACGCACCGCATCTGCTGTGTCTTGAGCCATCTGGCAGGGACCTTAGGCAGCTTGGGCTGCAGTAGGCAGCCTGTAGGGCTTGCTGAGGTGCGTGCCTCTACCAGGGCTTAATGCAGCCAGAAAAATCCATCCAAGTCCTCAAAAGAGGTTGAAGTAGTAACCTTGTTTTTTTTTCCCAGTAAAGTTTAATCTCTGGTTTCTAAATGTACTCTCTGACACTCCTAATGTATGCTGTGTGCTGCATCTTTGATAGGAGATAGGAACATGCTTCTCTTTTTCCAATGTAGAAACAATATATTTTAAATTAAAATTACTGTTATAATTCATCTTCCTGTTTCATGCTAGTAGCTCTTGACAGGCCGACACGTGGGTTCCTTCAGTGATTCTTTTGACACTGCCCTGTTGAAATGTGTTGAATAAGTAATATTTTACACTAAAATGAAGTTCAGTTGGATTAAAGTGTTCAAGCAGATTAAATTGTTAGATCATAGTCAGATTAAAATGTTAGATCATAGCTTGGTCAAAAGCAAATGTACCAACAAAACCCATTTGTCTTCTCATGTCTGTTCCTGGGAGCATAGCCTCTGACTTATTCCATTTTAAATGAAGTGGGATCAAATAAAGTGGCAGTATGCAGTGGGCACAGTAGGCCAGATTCTGAACTTTCAGGATGTGTTACTCAGAGCAGCACAAGTAAGAATGAGTTTGACTGTTTGGTTAAAAATCAGAACAGCACATAAGAACAAAAAATATTTATGACAGTAATCAGTGAAACATAGAAAAAGCAAGGTATGCAGTGGTCCTTCCATTTCTAACTTAATTTGGACGTTTCTGCATTGTGACTAACAATAGGATGCTATACTTTTAAATACTTTAATACATGATAGAGTAGAATCAAATCGGTCCCATTTAATATGTCATTTTATAACATCATGACCTGATTTTAAATATTATTTCAATTTAGGTAGCTGACCACAGATTTGAGGCAAAAAATCCCCACTCTCCAGATATACCTAATTTGAGGCAGAATTATGTGCTTGCTGGAAGTCATGTAAGAATTGCAGTGTATCAGCCACTTCAAGTCATGAATCCTTTATTCAGCGGACTTAACTGAAAGTGATTCTGTCTGTAATGGTCTGAGCAGGACTTGCCCATAGATTAATCAACACAACCAGAAGACAAGGCTGAAGACTTTATTTAGCTTCTTTAGCTGTTGGTCTTATAATTAAGAACGAAAAGATAGAGAGGAAAGTATTGCTCACCTGCAAATCTCTTTCTCCCAGATCACAAAGGCATGCAACTTCAAATCACACATGGCATCAGTGCATTCTTAAGCTAAAGTTCTCTATTACAGGATGGTTTCAGTTTTGTACAGCCAGGTTATGGACTTAATGGAGTTTTATTTGAACTATTAAAAATTATAGTACTTTTTGGAGACAGGAGAATACAGTTGTGTTACATTTCCATTGATGGAGTGACAAAACCAGCTGCAAATGTTGCCTTATATCTTCTTGATTTTTTTGCCAACAGTCTTGCACTATAGCTGATGATTTCTTAACGGTGAGATTTTACACTCACTTCACAGCAGCTTAACACAGGTATAAATGTGAAGTCCTTTGCTAGACAGGGAAAATCAGCACCTTAACCTGTCCTACAAAACCATCATTTATTTTACACAAAAAATTACAAGTACATCTGCCCTGATACCTCATTAAATGCTCATTTTGACAGGATTAAGAAATAATTTGACAGCTTTATATTTGCTTAAAACAGCTACAGCAGAACATAAAAGCAGTCTAGAGTTTTTCGAAGCTTTGATAAGAAGGAATATTCAAAAACCTCAGGAAAACTGTCAGAACGAAAAAGGTTGTTTGAATTTTGCATGATTTTTTTTTTTTTTTTTTTTTTTCAGGGGTGAAAAGATTCTAAAATTGATAAATATTGAAAATTGCTAACATTTTAAATATTACAACATTAAGTTTATAAACTACTGCAGAGGAGCTACATTGACTCAGATTATAAGGAAAAACATCTCAATTTCAACAGTCATTGTATTCATATAGGAGGGTTGCTCTAAAAGAAATGCCTTCTATTTTATTATATAGGTCACAGCATCAGTGATGGATTTTGGTGATATGGCAGTAGAGGGTGAACCTTCCCACCAATATCCTATTACATTTTGTTGCCATGTGACAGATGGCAACACAGGGACAGTCTGACAAAATGGTGTCTGACATGGAAGCAAATGTATGTCACTGAATTCTTCCATTCAGAAAAAAGATGGCACCCATTGAGAGTGGTTTTGGGGACCAAACAGTGGATGTGAGTGCAAAGAGGCAGTGGGTGATGTGTTTCAGCTGTAGTGACAGTGGGTCACCTCTGCTGGTGCAGGTTTTTTATGAATAAGGCATGCAGGCTCTTGTTCATTGCTGGTGAAAACACATAGTTAATGGTGTTGACTATGCTGGAAAATAGTGTTATGTAGCTAAGAATTTGTTCTATGAAATCATGCTATTGTGCCCTTTGTATCTCTTGTAGTTTAAATGGGAATAAATAGGATGCATTACTTTCAGAGCACCCTGTGTATAATACAGTATATATTAATATAAATAAATATAGTTACATACATATATATGTGTTCTTTTAATACTCCGCACTTATAATACCTATGATTTGCATGCAAAAAAGAATGCAGAACTTCAATACAGAATCACAGAACCATAGGGTTTGTAAGGAACCTATGGAGGTCATTGAGTCCACCCACCTGCTAAAGCAGGTTCCCTGCAGTAGCTTACGTAGGAAGACAACCAGATGGGATTTGAATAACTCCAGAGGTGACTCCACAATCTCTCTGGGCAGCCTGTTCCAGTGCTCTGTCCTCCTCAAAATAAAACAGTTTTTCTTCATACTTGGATGGAACTTCCCAAGTTCTGGTTTCTGCCCATTGCACCTTATCCTGCTGCTGAGCACCACTGAAAAGTGCCTGGCCCCATCCACTTGACTCCCAACTTTTACATATCTGTAGGTGTTGATGAGATCTCCTCTCACTCTTCTCCAGACTGAAACAGTCCCAGGTCTCTCATCATTTCTTTTCTCATAAGGGGGAATGTCCCAGGCTCCTCATCATCTTTGTAGACCTTTGCTGTACTCTTTCTGGAAGTTCCCTGTCTTTCTTGAACTGTGGAGCCCAGAACAGGATGCAGTACTTGAGATGTGGCCTCATGAGGGCACAGTAGAGGGGGAAGATAACTTCCCTCCACTTTCTGGCCGTGGTCTTTGTAATGCATCTCATGATACCATTGGCCTTCTTGGCCAAAGGGGCGCACTGCTGGCTCATGGCCAACCTGTTTTCCATCAGGACACCCAGGTCCTTCTCTGCAGACCTCCTTTCCATCAGTTCAGCCGTCAGCCTGTACTAAAGCATGCAGTTATTCCTCTCCAGGTATAGGACTATGCACTTGCCCTTGTACCTCATCAGGTTATTCTTTGTCCAGTTCTCCAACCTGTCCAATTCTCTGAATGGCAGCACAGCCTTCTGGTGTGTCAGCCACTCTTCCCAGCTTTGTATCATAAGCAAACTTGCTGATGGTGTACTCTATCCCTTTGTCCAGGTCACTGATGAGGATGTTGAATAACACTTGATACAGTACTGACCCCTGGGGAGAACCACTACATACAGACCTCCAACTAGTCTGCGTACTGCTGATTGCAGTTCTGCCAGTTGGCCAGGCCTCAATCCACATCACTGTCCACTCATTTATCCCACACTTCCTATGCTTACCTACAAGGATGTTATTGGAGACAATGTCAAAAGCTTCACTGAAGTCAAAAAAGACAACATCCAGTGCTCTCCCCTCAATGACCCAGACAGTCATGGCATTATAGAAGGCTACCAGATTGGTCTAGCATGATTTCTCTGGAAGTGAGGCTGACTGGCCTGTAATTTCCTGGGTCTTCCTTCTTCCTCTATCTGAAGACTGAAGTGACATTGACTATCCTCCAGTCTCCTGTTCTCCATGATCTTTCAAAGACAATAGGGAGTGGTTAAGCAGTCTCTTCTACCAGCTACATCAATGTATGTGGATGCATCCCATAAGGACCCATGGATTTGTTTGTGTTGAATTTGCCTAGAGAATCTCTAGCCAGATTCTCCTTGACCAGGGGGAAGTTTTCCTTTCCCGAGACTCTCTCTTTTACCTCTATGTAAGAGGATAGTGTTAGTAGTAAAGACTGAAGAAAATAAGGCCTTCAGTAACTGCCTTCTCAGTGCCTTCCATTACCAGGGCACCCACCTCATTAGTGGCTAGTTCACATTTTACTTCTGCTGTTGACATACTTAAAGAAGCCTTTCTTATTGTCCTTGACCTCCGTCACCACATTTAATCTCAAGAAGGCCTTAGCCTTCCTTTTTGCATCCCTGTGTGCTTTTTTTCTATTTCTTAAATTTTCCAAAATTACTTCCAAGTGGCTAGGTCCTTTTTTCACATTCCATAAACTTCTTCTGAGTCATTCCATGAACTCCTTGCTCATTCATGGGTTTCCTGGTATTTTTGTTTGATTTCTTACTCTTAAGGAAGCACTGATCTTTAGCTGGGATGAAGTGATGCTTGGATGTTAACCAACTCTCTTGCACCCCTTTAACTTCCAATAATCTAACCCATGGGATGCTCCAAGTAGGTCCTTGAAGAGGTCAAAACTGGCTCTTTTGAAGCCCAGGGCTGCAATACTACTTACTGCCTGATTCTTTCACACAAGATCCTGAACTCCACTATCTCATGATTGCTGTATCCAAGGCTGCCCCCAACCTTTACATCCGCAGCTGATCTTTCTTTGTTTGTAAGAACAAGGTTCAGCAGTACACCTCTCCTCATTGGCTTCTCCACCACCTGTGTCAGGAAGTTATAATCAACAATAATACCAGTTTTATATCCATTTTGAGCTACAAAAGCAGCCAAGATTCATGTTTCTAACTGGTGTTGAATTCACAGATTAAAATTTAACATTTTTCCAAGAACCAGAACTGCAAAGGCCATTTAGGATATGAGATGAAAACAGATGTACTACTTCTTATTATCTCCACTGAAAATGATAAAATATCTGTATTGAGAACTTTGACTGACAATTTTTTCAAGAATACGTGAGGCAGAATAACATACCAACTGCTCTTTCCTAACCATATTGGATTTGCATTTTTAACAGTGATAAAAATTGCTTTTATCTGTAACAGTGAGAAGTACTGTGTGAATGAAAAGATGAATTCAAAACAGAATTTTTCCTCTAGTGCATATGTGTACAGATAGGGACAAAATCAGAGGCTGCAATACACTTACACTGGTGTGACTCATGGATAAGTCAGATTGGAACTGGCACCAGAAAATCAACATGTTGAGGCACAGAGGTAATAAATTACAGATCACAAAGTGACAACATAGCTCAGACAACTCCAGAGAAACGAGGAAGAGCCACATATTTGTAAGTAGATAAGTTAAATATATGAAATATATTAGGATATTGGTATCTGTGATTAGGTAAATTAGTGTTGAAACTTCTGATAGAACAGAGCTGGAAGTTCTCCATTAACATACCACAGGATATTTTGAGAGTTTCAAAAATTGGTGTGAAGCAGCTAAGGCAGCTCACCTCATGGATGGTAATTAAAGCTTCTGTACTCAGTCACAGTCAAGTGCATGTCCATAACTGGAGACTCCTGTAAGGGGCTTACTTCAACCACAAATGATATTCTGACCAATACTGTGAGCCCTTCTAAACAAGATGCATTTTAGCAGAACTAAAGTAAGGTGAGACAGATGTTAAAGAGTGAAGATCACAGCTGCAGCACTGGTGGCAGAAGGATATCAGCAGTCCTGTGACTCTCTGCTCTGAAACACCCTTGGGATGCCCTTTCAATAGTATTTCTGCTCCTTTCCCAGGTAAGCAGCTGCAAGGCAATCTGTCCAGAATTGCCTCCAGCCTCTTAAAATCATAAAATAATAGAATCACCAAGGTTGGAAAAGACCTCTAAGTCTAATCCAGTCATATCATCTACGTATCACCAATATTTCCCTAAGACTAAACAATGTCCCTCAGTACAACATCTAAACACTTCTTGAACACCTCCAGGTGTTCCACAGTGACTCCACTACCTCCTTGGGCAGCATTCCAGCATCTGACCATTCTCTTGGAGAAGTGTTTCCTAGCATCCAATCTGAATCTTTCTTGGTGCAACTTGTTCCCTCTAGTCTTATTGCTACTTACATGGGAAGATAAGCCAAGTCCCACTTCACCATGACCTCTCTTCAGGTAGCTGTAGAGAGCAATAAAGTCTCCCCTGAGCCTCCCCCTCTCCAGACTCAACAGTCCCAGTTCCATCAGCTGCTCCTCATAAGACTTATGTTCCAGACTCCTCCAGTTTTTTTTGCCCTTCTTTGAACATGCTCCATTTTCTGCCAAATGGTCTGCTGCAGCCACGTGGCTGGCCAGCAGGTGCTAAGAAGTTTATCATTCCTCAACAATACGTTTAGATGCTGAGCTAGCAAACGTATCAGGGGATGATGATATTTGGAGAAAGCAGTGTTCTTTGGAGTTTCTTGACTGTATCCCAAGGTTGCATTTGATGTGAAGTCACCTGAGCTAACCTCACTGGTGATAGACTTTATTCTTAGAAGATAGCTCAGATTACACCTCTTACCAGTAAATGTCTTAAAAATTTCAGGAGATGACATTGAGGTGGCATCCTTAGAAATCTGATAACCCTACAGGAGCTCATGAGAGGAGGAAAATCCTGCTGGTCTGGATAGCAGCTGGAGGGAGAAGGAAACTGGCTCGAGTATGGCATGGCAGCAATGTTGTGTAACATCTGTACAGCTCATAGTGGGGAGGTTGAGAGCTCCATGCCTTTCTGTGGCCTCCTGCAAGGTAAAAGTAGCTCTGCAGGACTTACTGCATGACTTACTGCTATTGCATGCCTTCTGTTTCCCAGTCAGGAATGCATCATTGTCATCTGACTGGCAAACTCTGGTTGCTGTGGTTTGCTTTTACAAGTGCACATTTGGCTGGAGTGCATGCTGCAGATGTTTGCTTACATTTCTCATCCTGAGTGCACCCATACCCAAGGCACTATAGAAAAATGACCCCAGGAAGGATGAAAGTCCTGAGGATGCATGCTGTGATCCTTACATCCAGAGGCAAATTCAGGACTGTAACTTAATTCCCTGTACTTTCCCCATGTTCCATGCCTGCTGGGCAGTAACCCTTGAAGGCAGAGAGAAACCTTCTGGGCTGTGTGTGAGCATTGGCTGGCACCACATGGTGAAACTGGATGCAGGGTGAATAGAAAAACTACATAAGGGAGCCATTTTTTTTTTCTGTTGATGTGCAGAATCACAGAATCACAGAATTGTAGGGGTTGGAAGGGACCTCCAGAGATCATCGAGTCCAACCCCCCTGCCAAAGCAGGTTCCCTACAGCAGGTCGCACAGATAGGCATCCAGGCGAGACTTGAATATTTCCAGAGAAGGAGACTCCACAACCCCCCTGGGCAGTCTGCAGCATGTTTCTTGGCTATCAGAAGCTATTATGACAGTGGTGACATGCCATTTGACCTATTCAATGGTGATATGCTGGGCAGTATATTTGAATGCAGTTGTATAAAGATGCATCTCAGGACTTTATCTTCCTAGTAGTGCTTACAGGACTTTTTTCAGGGAGCAGGATGGTAAGTATGAGCTGGTTTCTATATGCTTGGCTGAATGATCATGTGTTGTACTTTGTGTTGTCACATTCAGGCCTGAAGAATGGTTACTCTTTTCTTCCCTAGAATTAGAGGTGGGTTAAGGAAAAGACGGTTCACAGCCCACATACCTTCTGATTTACTAATGTACTGCTGAGAGTGTGTTCTCTTCACACAGCAGCCTGGTGTGGTGCCTTAGTGCCAGTGGTCCTGCTGGGGTTGTGCTTTGAAGAGAGGAAACAAAATGTAGTGAAGTCTACAGTTTCACTAAACATGGTAACCTGTGAAAAAAGTCCTTTTTAAATTTTTTTTTTTTTTTTTTAAAATTCTAGCTTCCCTGAAGACAGAAGTTTGTGGCTTACTGCAGACCATAACATAGAACTGAACTAACCTTGCTTGGAAGCAAGAGATCAGTGCACAGCAATGAGATGGACTGAACAAAAGTGATAGTACAGGCATACATGTCATGTGCTGTTCTGGTTTCCACCTTTCAAAAAAGATATAGAAGTATTAGACAGAACACAGGATATGGACCCTGAGTCATTGTGAATTCCAAAAATATGCTCAAATATTAAAACTTTGAAGAAGCTGTTTATTCTAAAATGTCTTGATAGACAATGTGACCACAGTTTAGAAACATTTACACAAGGAGGTCTTTCTGAAAATAAAAGATTATTGAAATCCATAGCAGAAGGCCTGAGACTGAAGGTAGACTTGGAATGGAAGGTGATTAAATGCTGAAAAAATCGTACATTGAATCATGGTCAATCCTCTACTTGTAAATCAAAATATCTTTCTTGAACTAAGTAGAGAAATATCAATATATTTTTTTCCTTCTATAAGATATGTTATAATTGAAAGAGAAACTAGGGTCACTGCAGAAATAGTTGAACTAGGTTCTTTGTTAGATGTAAGACAAGATTAAATGATAATTGCATTGTTTATTTTGGTCCTTAAGAGAGAAAATATTTATTATCTTGATGGAATAGTTCTTGTGCTTTCAAATGCTTCAGTAGTTGCTATTTTCTGCTGAACACTTTTTAATAGAAAATAATAATAATAAAAAATACCAACAAAACATTCTGTTATTATTGTGGATTAAACGTAAGTGCAAATGTGATTTAAAGGTACAAAGGGCTTTGCACATAGGAATGAGGAGATTACTAGGAAACCTGAAATAATACAGAGGATTTAAAATGACAGGTACAAACTGAACAGGATGGGTATTTTTAGAATAGTTTTAAAAAACTCAGTAATTGTTAACTAAAATATGCAGTTGGTAAATAAAAATTAGCACTTTCAAAGATTACTGAAGTGAAAAAGAGACTAGCGTGAGAGGAGAAGCAAAGCCATTGCAAGAATAATTTGGAACTTGAGTTTTCAGAAAAGAATGGTAAACATTTTCTTACTCTGGTGCTTTTCCTGGGATGAAGAAGTCAAAATTATGTGAGCTCCAGCAAAAATACTTATGAACATGATAAGCTTGCAAATATGACAAGGCATTATGTCCAGAGAAAATATTTCTAAGATCTCAAGGAAGTGGAAGCAGAAAGAGGAGAAGGTTTCTCAGATATTTTCATGAGTTCACTCAGTTCAGGAAACATTCCTTAGGACTGATTGCAACAACCGAATAACTTACAAAGATCACAGTAATATAGGAAGTAGGACAGACACTGATGACATCATGTACAAGAAAAGAGTAAAAAGTATTTCAAAGAAATTGGACGTAAAAACATTAATAAAAGTGGTGTATGAAGGGGCACTGGCAACTCCATTTTCAGGAAGAGGGGGCTATGCTTCCTTAACTTGACCAGACCATTTGAAGCTCATTGTTTCGAAGAAGGAATATAGCTGATCAAGAACATATTCTGTATTTAAGGTTTTGAGCAGGACTCCTATGTAACCCATCTGAGGTTTGCTTATGACATAAAACTGTGAAACAGAAGAGACAGTAAGCCAGACTGGAAATTTGGCAAAACTAGGAAGCAGTCTCACAGAGTTTGACTTCGCTTCAAGATTTGTAAAATAAGGTAACAAAATAAAATAAGGTAATAAAAAATAATATAAAATAATGTAAAACAAAAGCATGCTCTCTACAAGCTACCCATCCTGCAAATGACCAGAGTGAGAAAACCAAGAACCAAATAATGTACTGCATGCAACTAGAGACAAACACTACTTATTCTGAGCTTATTTAAGAGGCAAATCTCATAAAGTGACCAGCCTCGACTTTGCAGTATTTCATGGGGAAAATGGGGCACTCATAGTTTAGGTGTCTGACCTCAATAAATAAGTAATGCTAAGGTTGGACTGAAGTTCCATACCCTAACAGTCCAGTCCAGGACTGTGAGATTCTACTTGAGGAAGTTAAAAGTCACTACGAATATGAGCCTTAATCACTATGTGTCCGGAAGCTTAGCTGCTGTTTAGTATCAGGAAAATCATTTCATTGGGAAATATGCTTGAAATCTACATTCCCTGAGACTGCATGTATTTTAGGAACATAAAATAGCTAGAGTGCTGTGCTGGCTCAATCTTCTCTGTCATTTTTCCTCCCAGGCGTGCTATATAGCAAATTTCTTTCTTGGGCATGTCTAACATATTGCACAATGAAGCTCAAGGCTCATTTTCCTATTTTCAGTGTTAGCTGAAAGTCCAGAGGAGGCATGGGAGGAACAGTCAGTTGCAAATGCTGTTGAATCTGGATATTTTGTTACTTGGTGTGTTGGCAAAACTATGAGAAAATCTCCCCCAGATGGATGGCTATGTTTCATCTCTACTATCCATATGGCATCCAGACTTACCTGTAATGGTCTGGAAAGGTGGAAAAAGTCAGGCTTCAGGAGATCTAAGCCCCTTGAAAAGTTGGCTCAATATGTGGTGCAAAGTAGTAGCCCTCTGCATGCCAAGTTCCCTCACTTGTTGCCTTCAAACCTTAAACATATAAGGAATTGGTTGCATGGCTTATGATAAAATGTGGTACAGATAAATACATTTCTAATTTGATTTGTCCGGATGTATATAGTAAAGACTGTAATAATATAGCATTATCCTGTATTATATAGCATGCTCTCAGCTGCACCCAGGGAGATCCACCCTGGGTGGAGAGCATAGAGCTTGGCTGAGCACAGCAGTTTTCAAACACGAAATAGCACATTGGGAACTCAAGTTTATCAGTAACCAAGAGTCACAAAACCAAATAACTCTTACCGTCTCAGTGAATGTTGTCGTGAGTACATTTCTGGACCAGAACAGGTTCCCACTGGAACACGAAAGACTGTGGGAGACTTTTGTGCTCTGTTTATGGTTAGGAGTTAATTAGATACCATCACTGTATAACCTTCTCTTGTATGTTATTTTGGCTAAACTTTCTTCGCAAAATATTTTTTACAAGCCTAGTGGCAGTGGAAAGAGATTTTTATTTTTATACTGAAAGAAAAAATAACTTTGTTTTTGTACTAGCTATTCTTCCTTCTCTTTGGGAGTGGTAAAAATACATCATGGGATGGACTTTACATTATACAATTCTACCCACTTTTACTGAAACTCAAAGCAATGCAGCATCTTTTGATTTGTAAAATAACAGAACTTAGAAGTCTATAAATAAGGAGGAGCTAGGAGTTCTTATTTCTTTCCCTCTGCTATTAGCCAGTAGCAGATTTGCTTTACTTTTCTGAAAACTTTCATTCCACATCTACAAGGTAGTTGTGGATTGAAACAAATTAAACTAGCAAAGGTAAAACATCTATATCTCTGCTTCAAAAGAAGCCATCTCCTATCTAAATCAGCAGCAGTGTCAATATGCCATGAGAGATTTAAATGCTATAAACAAAGGAAACTAGATTTTTTGACTTATATTCAGACAAAAATACAAAAGCCAAATTATCCATCTCTTGTATTTGCTTCCACTACGAAAATTCTGTGTATATCTTGCCATGATAACGGAATCCAGTCACATTAATTTTTGTAGACTTGCTTTCTGTTTTATTTATTTATTTATTTATTTATTTATTTATTTATTTATTTATTACAGAATCACAGGATCACAGAATGGCCAGGGTTGGAAGGGACCTCAAAGATCATGAATCTCCAAACCCCCGCCACATGCAGGACCACAAACCTCCACATTTAATACTAGACCAGGCTGCCCAGGGCCCCATCCAATCTAGTCTTGAACACCCCCAGGGATGAGCTAACCACAACCTCTCTGGGCAGCCTGTTCCAGCACCTCACCACTCTCTCTGTGAAGAACTTCTCCCTGACATCCAAACTAAATCTCCCCCACCTCAACTTAAAACCATTTCCCCTTGTCCTGCAGTTATCTACCCTTTCAAAGAGTTGATTCCCCTCCTGTTTGTAGGCTCCCTTTAGGTACTGAAATGCTGCAGTGAGGTCACCCTGCAGCCTTCTTTTCTCCAGGCTGAACAAGTTTAACTCCCTCAGCCTGTCTTCATAGGGGTAGAGCTCCAGTCCCCTGATCATCTTCGTGGCTCTCCTCTGGACCCTCTCCAACAGTTCCATGTCTTTTTTGTACTGGGGGCTCCAGACCTGGACGCAGTACTCCAAATGGGGCCTCACAAGAGCAGAGTAGAGAGGAACAATCACCTCTCTGTCCCTGCTGACCACCCCTCCTCTGATGGAGCCCAGGATACCATTTGCCTTCCAAGCCACAAGGGCACACTGCTGGCTCATGTTAAGTTTTTCTTCTATCAAGACCCCCAGGTCCTTTTCCACAGGGCTGCTCTCAAGGAGCATTCCAGGAATTCCTCTGGCCCAAGTGCAGAACTTTGCACTTTGCTCTGTTGAACCTCATTAGGTTCACCTAGGCCCACCTTTCAAGCCTGTTGAGGTTCCTCTGAATGGCATCCCTTCCTTCCACTGTGTAAACCACACCACTCAGCTTGGTGTCATCAGCAAACTTGCTGAGGGTGCACTTGACTCCGTCGTCAATGTCATTGATAAAGATGTTAAAGAGCACTGGTCCCAAGACAGACCCCTGGGGGACGCTGCTCATTACTGGCCTCTGTCTGGACATTAATCACTACCCTCTGTCTGTGGTCTTTTAACCAATTTCTTATTCATTGGGTGGTCCACCCATCAAATCCACATCCTTCCAATTTGGAGATAAGGATGTGGTGGGGAAGCATGTTGAAATCCTTACTCAAGTCCAGGTAAATGACATCAGTTGCCTTCCTTTTGTCCACCAATGCCATCACTCCATCATAGAAGGCCACCAGATTGGTTAGGCGTGACCTTCCCCTAATGGAGCCATTCTAGCTGTCTCAGATCACGCGCTCATTCCTCATGTGATCAAGCATGTCATCCAGGAGGATCTGTTCCATGATTTTCCCATGCACAGAGGTGAGACTCACCAGCCTGTAGTTCCCTGGGTCCTCCTTGCTCCCTTTCTTGTAAATGGGAATGACATGATCCTTCCCCCAG